AAACTGTAATAAAAATAAGAGACATAATGAGAAACGGAAAATCAGCTGAGTGAGTTCCAGCTAAGGCGTAGTGGTCTAGATGTGGAATCCACTCAAACATCATCCTCTCCTGGCTGCTCTTACTCACTGATCCCTGACTCGGTGTAAATAACCAGAGCTATATTTAAGCATGTTGTCTGTCTGTCTTCTCCATACTACAGCATTATTTATATCCTCCCCTGTGTGCCTCAGTAAAGTGGCTCGTTTCCCTCCTGGGGAGGCGGTGGAGCCCAACCAGAGGAGGTCGATTTCAATCTGCTTAACGCTCTTGTTTATGATGCACACAGATTATAAGTAGACCATCTCTAATGCAAAGGGAGCCTCCCTGCAGCTGCTCTGCTAGTTTTGATAAATCTGTCATTTCCCATGTCTCCCTAAAAGCTCCTTTCTTGGGTCTTAACTGGTTTAGAAGATTGATGGTTTCAGCTCTAAGCTTTGCAAGCTGTGTATGTATTAAATTAGAATAATTGTCTTAATGGGAGCAGAGCCACAGCCTGCCTATCTATCTGATGCAGCTTGATTTTAAAGGCCCAGTTCTCATGCTTAGTCAGTAGATTTGCTTATTATAGAAAGGCTGTGAAATTTGCATCCAGTACGTTTGATATCAGCCGTTAGCCATGGATGGAACAGTTCTTTTCTCCGGGGCTCAAATTGTGATACAGTGACATTAGTTTTCACTTTACCTGGGCTTACTTCTGAAAGTCCTTCTTGTCTTCTCATCCCAAAGCCAACCTGTGTGCGTTGACGCCCTGTGGCGTCTGCCTCCTTCCTGTCACCCGTCCCTGAACCTGTCTGCTAACTCCAGAGGTGGGGTGGAGGGCTGTGACAGAAATAAACACGTGGTGACGCCCCTGCCCTCTTCTCGGTTGCACCGATCGCAGTTCACCCCCCCCTCCCACACACACACAAACACATGCTCTCTATATTTTTACCGTTCCCGTTTTGTGAGTGGTGCCTTCACTTGCTGGCCGGCGCCGAGGAGAATCTGTTGTTGGGGACATGGCGGGGCTGCTGTGTGGGACTAAGAGGAAGAAGCAAGGTAATCTGACTTTAATGTTGGACTGTTAGGAAGTTGGAGGTGGAAATGGGGAAGTGGGAGCCATCGGTGCAGCTTAAGTTAAATGTTAACTGTTAGTATGCAGTGAGCAAGCTGCTTTAGAAAAGGAGTTTGATTTACTTATTTATTTTTTATATATTTCTAAACATTCAGATGGCCCAAAGCAGCAGGGATGCAGTAGGATGAACATGCAGACAGGAAGCTACAATTATCAGGAATCTGAGCCAGTCTGATGTGTAATTTACAAAGCAAAATGATCTATAGTAAGATTAAAGGTTCAATGAGAGGGGCCGAATCAGATAGTAAATCTTTGGGGACCGTCTCAAGCTAATTTTGTTTATCTTCTCATGACTCACCCTTTAAGTCACATCATTCTTCTATCTGAACCATAAACACACTAAGAGTGGCTTCCTTCACTTTGATGTTTTTATGCTTCCATCTTCCCCACCTCTGTCCTTTTGAATAATAATAGAATAATAATAGGATTGAATAAATGACAGTTTGGTATATATTGATTTTGGTTTAGCCTGTTGCAGGTTGAGCAAATAGAAAAGCTGGAAGGATAAAAGCATTACAGCCATTAGCGACAGAAAGGCTGTAAATCTCTGGACTATCGCTGCAGTCAGCAGTGAAACGTGTCAGCAGAAATGTCTTCTGCTCACTTAAAAATATTAGAATCCTAGTTTCAGTGTTTGCTGCTGTATTATACATTGGACATACAGTATTTCTATAACAAGGTTATAGAAATGTTTAAAGGTTTTATCATTTTTGCAAATGTCATGTTGTGAGAAAGGAAGTAAGAAATGAAAAGACTTTTGGGAAGAAGCAAAACCAGAATAAACATTTGCCAAGTGTTCAGCAGTATGGATGTAAATATGATGCAAAACTATTGAGCTTGGAGATTAGATCTGGATTTTTACAGCAACATGCAAAGCTAAGTTCAACACCAGCACTTTTGGAATAAGTGTTCCTAAGCAAAATATATGGTTAATGGCATGTACTTATATAACGCCTTTATTCAAGTCACTAGACTTGATCAAAGCGCTTTACACTCATTCATTCACCCATTCACGCACACACTCACACACAGATGGTGGCAAGCTACATTGTAGCCACAGCTGCCCTGGGGCTCACTGACAGAAGCGGGGCTGTCGTACACTGGCTCCCCTGGGCCCTCTGACCACCATCAGTAGACAATGCAGGTGAAGTGACTTGCCCAAGGACACAACGACACTGAAAATCAGAGTCGGGGCTTGAACCGTCAATCATTCAATTTCAGGGCAAACTCCTACATCCAACGCCACTTTCGCCCCTAGTAGTGAGTGTGTTTATCTTATAAACACACTCACTATCTTATCTTATAAACACACTCACTACTTTATTATGTACTTTGCTTTAACAGGTTCTCTCTAAAGATGCACCGATCCAGTTTTTTTCCCAATCCAATCTTTTACCGATAAGTGGGCTGAACATATCTGCAGATATCTGATACCGATCCAATTCTGTTGCTGAATGAATTAACTAGGGCTGAACAAGTTTGCCAAAAATCCAAATTGCAATTATTTTTAACCGAAATAGAGATCACAATTTTATTTAGTTTATCGTTTGCCCTAACCCCAAACTTTTTTTTTTCTTCACCCCTGGCTTTCACTTTTCGAAAGCTTGCTTGCACAGACTCTATTGTTGTAGGACTTTACTGTAGTCTTTGTGTGAAAAAAGTGCTTTCTTCTACTTCTACTAGTCGCAAAAAGATCTACTTTTCTGTGTGCTTATAAACCCACTTCAAGTGTTTTACAGCCACCCAAAGGGCTGGAGGGAAAAATGCTTTGTCTTGCTCTTGTTAAATATAGTGTGATTAAAACTGAGTGCCTTTGCAATTTGAAAATTGCATTTTGCTAAATTGCGATTACATTTTAAATGCAATTAATTGTCCAGGCCTAGAATTAAGCACATATCTTACCATACGAGTAAAGACTTTAGCCTTAACATAATCATTGTTAAAAAAAGGTAACAAATTAACAGAGATATAAATATACAATATATTTTTTCTTGAACAAATAAACAACAAAAAGAAGGAAATAACTGTTCCATGTAGAGTGTACTGGATTGAATCTCCGATATCTGATATCAAATCATATGTCCGATATCCGATCCAGCTAATAAGTCAATATTGAATCCGATATCCGATCCAGGAATTGCATCTGTTCATCTCTTGTTCTTTCTAGATCATCTTATTTATAACAACCTTAAATTTTCTTGCCAGATTCCAAAAGGGGTCTGAAAAATTTTTCTTAGATTTTGGTCCATCTTAACATGACACCATGACAACACTTGCTTCAAATCTGTCTGTAGCATATCTATGATCTAAAGCCCCCCTTCCGCCACATTCCTTAGTTCCCATGTTGGCCTAAGATCTGCTGGATTATGGAGCCCACTGGAAGTTTAAGGGAACTCCTTTTCATGTTCAAGAAATCTGATTGAGTTAGTCTAAGCTTTGTGAAACTGAGTGGTATGCTGCTAGCAATACCCATCAGAAGATGGGTTCAAGTGGTCATAAAGAGACAGACATGACCAGTGACAATATTAAGGTAGATGGAGGAATTTAAACTCTGCTATGGCATCTTATCAGACAGGTAAAGTCTGAGTTTGTGACAATTGTGGCCTCAGTTTGCTGCTCTTAGGTGACCTTACTGGTACCTAATGTAGTTTTCTGCTGATGTAGCCTTAAAGGTTCATGTGTTATTCATTAGGAGGTGGTATTCAGCTATGAAGGACCAACTCTGCCATATTTAAAAATAAATAGAGAAATAAATAAATGCTCAATAAATGTATAAGCATACAATTAATTGCCAACAAAAATACAATAAACAAATAAATGTAAGTAGAAATTAAATTATAAAGTGAGACATAAATGTATATAACTCTTAATTAGCTTCTTTATTTATTTGCCTTTGTAATATTTACCATATTTATTTATCTGTCCTTTATAATCTTCAACTTTATTTTTTAATTACTTATATTTTTAAGTATTTATTTATGTGCATGTTATAATATTTTTGTCTGTTTTATTCTTCCTTTGTATTTTTTTACCTTAGTTATTTCTTCGCCGCTGTTTATTTCTCTCTGCCTCTCTGTTTTGTTTTTTTCTTGGATTGGGCTATAAGGGGTTAAGGAAAAATGAAAAAGGACATATTTAGTCCACTAGTCTTGCACCATGCAAATGCACCAGCTTGTTTAATTTGTTTTTTACAGCGCTTTGTAAAAGATTCAAACAACTCTGCTATTTTCTTACACAGTTTCGCATGTTATAAATTTAAACCTGAAAATGTGTCCTCGAGCCAATACTTTGCAGAACCAACTTTCATATAACAGTAGGTGTTTGGGGCTGCAGCTTTGCACAGTTGGTCACTGAGCCAAACTTTCTTCATTCTTAAAAAAACTCAGGCAGATTGAATAAAAAGCATAGGAGAGAAGCAATTTTAATGTCTTTTCACAGAATTATATTTAGCTCCAGACTTTAACTAGGCCATTTGCAGAGATGAATATGCCTAGGTCTTTTTCATTTTGCTGCAGTCTGGCCTGTTAAAAAGTATATGAAATACTGTGATAATGCTAGTAGTGTATGATCGGATACTAAACCTTACTTTGAGAAAATTGATTTCTTATGTTGTTTAGCATTTGTCATTGTTTTCTACATTTTTATAAGAAGTAACTACTGATATATGTGACACAACTGAAAAATGTCCCGTTTTGTTTTGTTTTGATTTCATATCACTATCATTGATTAGGCCTAACCCTCAGTCTCCTTTTACCTTTAATCGTGTTTTTCAATACCTGATATTTTGTGGGAACCTTAAAAGCAGGTTTTCTAAAAATCTTGGTGGTTCTGTTTCTGTTTCACCAGTGAGTGATCTCCATGAGGAGGGGAAGAACGCTATCAATGCTCCTTTGCTTCCTTCAGCAACAGAAATCCATCCAGAGGATACGCTGCTGGGTACGAACCTTCCCCTGCATACAGAGTTATTTTATTTGGACTTACCTTAAAATGTGAATTACCTTAAACATATCTTAGAATGTGTTTAGTAATAATTAGCTATCAGTTAGGATTGTAAGGCAACTGTTTCTAAGACTTCAGGCTAATTCTTTAAGTGAGTTTCTGAGAGGTTATTTAGGTTGTTGAACAGAGGGAAATGAAAGTGGGTGGAGTGCAGATTGCTTTGTACTCAGTAAACCGTGAAATCCCCACTGACACAACTTTAAGGAAAATCTTCTGTATCTATTTTTTGACTGTTAAGTGAAATCCAATGGAAAACTTGTCAGGGAGATGTCTTTACCATCTTATTAATTAAACATCGAACTACTGAGGGAAACAGTTACTTGATTGCAAAGCTAGTAGAAGCTGTATATTTTTATTTTGGTGTTTTCTCCCTGCAGAAGAAAATGCTGAAAGGATTATGCTGGACCCCACGTCACGGGAAGATCTCAAATTTAAAGATCTAGTGAAGGTAGATCAGATTAAGTTGGATTTTGTGTACAGAAAAAAAAAAAAACTTATATTTTGATGCGTAAAATAAGATAACCTAATTGTCGGCTGGGTTGTATAGGTACTAATTGACTGGATCAACAGTGAACTGGCGGAGGAGAGGATCATAGTGAAAGACCTGGAGGAGGACTGTTACGATGGACAAGTGCTACAGAAGTTATTTGGTAGGAAATGGTCTTTTTTTATCATAGAGAGGACTATACATAAAACCTTAGAGGAAGAACATAATGTATAAACATGTTAAGGTCAGTTTCACTCATGTTGTCATCGGTTTTTGTTTTAAACAAAGTTTGATTTCCTGCTGTCCTGTTTGCCACTATTGCTCCTGAAACAATGGGACAATTGTACTTCTAGAAACTATTAGAATAATTAGGAAGTTCAAATAAAGTTTATACTCATTCAGTTATGGGCATAATTACTACATGAAACTGAATCAATAAGGTGTCTACTGTAAAAAAAAATGTTTTCCAGTAGTTCCTACAGGATGAGGCAAATTTGTATTTAGCAAAATGAAAGAATCTGTTTTTAGCTACTCTGTTATTATGAAATTTATTAGCAATTATTGTTTGTTTAACATTTTTTTGTTTCTACCAAGTGTTTTCAGTCATCTTATCAGTCAACAATATATATTGAAGGAAAACTTTTAGGCAGAAGATTCATTTTAGAGGGATAAGATAGTCAAGACATGGCCAGCATTTCATAATGCCAGCTTGCCCTCATGAACACTTTGCATTTACAAAGATTGACCAGTAGGTGGCATTATATGTAAATGCTTTCCTAATTCCAATGAGGTGGTTTTCTATTTTGGTATACCATAAACCAAATATTAGAAGAAAACTGCTTCAAACAGCTGTCTAATGAACAACTCTTCAACAATTCAACCAATCTTGAATGGTTATGTTTCATTTACTGATTACTATTAATCAGGGATATATATGAAAATAAGGATGTCTTTGTCTTTATAGCAGAAAGTTGTTATTTATTCCTTTCCAATTTGATATATAAATATTGTTTTTTAAATGTATCATTATTCAATCTATTTGTGTTTTTTCTTTTGTTTTTCCTGTCGGCAACAGAAAAGTTGTCGGATCGGAAGCTGAATGTAGCAGAGGTCACCCAGTCGGAGATTGGACAAAAGCAGAAGCTTCAGACGGTTCTGGAGGCCGTCAACAATACACTGAGGCCCCACGGCTGGACAGTGGAGTGGAGCGTAGACTGTGAGTTTTATGTTTTTAGTTTATAATAGCCTAAAGTAAATATACATTGATGTCAGGGTTCAAAGTCAATGGAACTGAATGGAATAAATAATTTAGTTAGAGAAACATTTGTTGAGTAGCTTAATGGAACTTTATTTTTTTTGTCTTTGTTTTTCTATGTGGGACTCTGGTTAAATACAGATGAGTTTCTTCAGTAATTCTTTTAAAGTGATGTTTGCTTCATTACATAGCATAAAAAATATAAAAATATAGTTTTCAGTTTGTTTAGATATTCTTTCTTCCCTTAATTTTAAAGTCAGATGCAGTTTCTCATTTTTTTTCCTGTTATAAAAAACGTCCTTCTCTGTTAATTAAATTATCTGCATCCACAATATCAGTAACAGTGAGATACATTATACTGCCAGACAATGTTCCCTCTAATTTTTCATGTGTCTGGGCATTAACACAAGCGCTTGAGTAGACTGAAGACCAATGTGGGCAACATTGGATGAGCACACTATCATCACACATCATTATTAAAGTTGTGATAAACATGGGATAATAGCAAGTTACATGGCTTAGAAATTATTGGAGCAATTTCCAGTAGTTTACTCCCAATTGAAGGGATTTGTCTCACTTGAAAAAAAAAAAAAAAAAAAAAAGATTGTATCATGAGATGTCTAATGTTTAATATGCTATATGTAAGAGTCCTGCTCAGGGTGAGGCTCCTTAGCTCGAAGGAAGGAGATATCACACCTTTCAGACTTTTTCTTCCCATTTAAACATTCAAATTCTGCACAAGGAAATGCATACTGTAGCTTGTGATACAGTATAAATTCCTTCAATTTTTTGTCTCGAAATGTTTTAATTAACCATTTTTTTAGTGTTTCTACTATAAGTTATATAAAACTAAAATCATTTCACAATTAATATCTATAAATAAAAGAACTTCATAAATGTCACTAGAATATGAACAAATCTAACTTGAATGTATCTTTCTTGTCTGTCCTTCTAATTTCCCCAATGGTTTTCCAAATATGCCTCTTTAAGAGCTTTCCGGATGCTGTTTAGATATGATTAATTAAACCAAATCCTCTTTTACAATCAGCATTTAAGTGCTGCAGCCACCATTTCTAAAAAACGTGCTGGACCCCTTTATGAAAAAAATCACATGGAACATGCTATCCACGCTACGCTATGCTGTCAACAGATGCATCCTAAGCTGTCTGATAGCAGGGCTGTTACAAACCGGTGGGTTTCATCATTTTAGAAGACTAGACTAACAAATAATTTGGACCGCCTCATCTTCTCCTGCTGGATCATTTATTTATGCATCTGTTGCGCGCTTTGATAAGGACTGCTTAATACGGACATTTGCAAAAGATTTTTTAATGGACACTGACATTTTACTAAACATATTCATCCAAATACAACTTTTAAACAAATAATGTTTTATTATAAAACTGATTTGATAGTTACATTTGAAACTGGGGTTGAAGAGTAGTTATATAAAGACGAGATGCTATAAGAGACCAAAACGGAATAAAAATGAGATGAACGTATTCTCTATGCATTTGATTTTTAATATACTTAAATTAGTATTGCAAGTTAAGAAAAAAATTCTCCATTTCTCTATTCGGGGGGAAAAACACTGTTGCCTCTAGTATTTTCATTTTTGGTTTTGATATAGAAAAAATGAATGATGCACGGACGCAGAATGATCCAGAAAAAGATTGTTATTGGTCATTTATTTTGGATTTTATTTTATGCACTGCACATTTTTTCTTCTGCGCTGAGAATGAGCGAGTACCGCACAATTGCACAAGCACGCAGCTTAGAGGGAAACATTGCTGGCAGATGTGTTCTCTCTCTTGACTTCACACACATATGGAGACATCCCATTAACAACCTGACCTTTAGAGCTTCAGGTCTTCTGGTCAGGCTTTCTTAACTTTTTCACCCATTTATTAGGAGCTAGTTTATGGGAAAATTTAACCAGTCTTCCAGAAGATCGTTTGTAACACAGATATAAAAGGCTACTTATGCCATAAAATATTTTAGGTGTTGCATTCTCTATACTTCTCCCTCATAAACACTATGTTAGCTTTCATTATTGTAAAAAATGGGTCGCCCTCAGAACCCAGAGAATCCCAGTGGGGTAATTTGGTTGAATTTCCCCTATGCAACAAGTCCAGCTGTGAGATTTCCATAAAACTTTCTGCCCTAAATAAGTCAGGACCGAGGAAACCTCTCCTACTGAATAAATCTATGAATGGATGCAATATGCTCGGGTTCCTTAGATAGAAAACGCTTAACTAGTATGAATAATGAAACAAACTGGACTCCATGGTTTAACTGCGGTGATCAATTAGGAATGTGTGAAATTAACTCAGAGTCTCTCTACATGACTAAAAATTAGTGATTTTTTTGTTAAATTGGGGCTACATGAATAAACTATATTATACTGTCTAAATAAAAAGCATAAAAAATATATTTTTTTTATTAAGAAACCATCTTGCCACATTACTGCTGTATTGCTAATCCAGCAGCTCTATCCAGATTACAGCTCAGTGTCTTTTTCTTGCATCTCATATCATCACAGTGAGATTTGCAAATGTTGGCATATATTGCATGTTGCAAGTTTAGGAAAACATATTGCATGTTTTCCTAAACTTGCAAAGCCTTAACTACCATGAAATGTTAATGTGACTTTTTGTATTTATTGTTGTCTCTGCAGCGATTCATTCAAAGAACCTGGTGGCTATCGTTTACCTGCTGGTTGCTTTGGCCATGCACTTCCAGGCTCCCATCAGACTACCTGAGCATGTGTCTGTACAGGTGGTGGTGGTAAAGGTAAGTTATCCATCAAACTTGTGGAAGCTTTAAAAACTATGAAAAGATAAGAACATAATTAAATTATGAAATGTCTTCAAAGGAAATGAAAAGCATGCTAATGTATTTTGAGTTTTTCACATTGATCTCTGCTATCTACAAAAGTCTGAATGTGAAGAAATGTCTAAATGTATTTTGAGAAACAGCAAGTACAGATCAATCTCGGTATTAGAAAAACATTGAAAAAAAAATTTATTTAAAAAATGAAACATTGCATTGCAGAGTGATTTTTATTTATTTATTTTTAGAGTTGATGATAGTGGCTTATAGCAAATATAAACCCAACATTTAGTTTCCCCCAAAATCTGAATATAAAATATAAATAATATAGAAAGAGAAAAGCTAGTTTGACACAGAAATGTCCATAAAGGTCTACCTACATTCAGAATTTTAATTCAAACCTTAATTGTGTCTCATTTTATGTGTCAAGTAACTAAGGATACATACACAGTTACTGTTCTTAAGTATCTTTTTTCCATAACTGTAATTAATTGGATATTTATTGTTGTGGGACTTTTTACTTTTACATTCTACATTCAAACACAAATATCTGTTCTTACTGTACTCCTTACTTTTTACAAACTGGCTCATTATCACTATACGCATTGATAAGACAGCCCAGTTTGTTTACAAAAAAACACTGATGGAGGCATCGATGAAGAAACAGGGATGGAAAAGATTGCAGATAATGGGTCAGATTCTGCAATGCAAGGCACCATCTATTTGCATTTTATTACTATTTAAATTTACATGTTGATCATGTTTCAAGTTCTGTTTCAGTTTTAGTGTTATTTGCAATATTAATCCTGTGAAAACCAGAACTCTAAAAAGTATTCATCTGCTTATGCAGGACTTCTGTTCAGTTTAATCTATATTATCCTGCCTAACATTTTCATTTAGACCCCAAACAGACAGTGAGCAAAAACGGGAAATAAATAAATAAATAAATAAAAAATTGTATCAATAAAGGCAAAAACTTCGTTTTAATGTTGTATTTAAGTACAATGTCGATTCTGCACTTTTATAGTTTTATGTAGGTAAAGGACGTCAGTCAATGTTTTTAACCAGCATCTTTTCTAAATTGGATATCTGTATTTTTACTTAAGTAAAGCATGTGAGTACTTTTGACACCTCTGCTTTTATCTGAGCTATTGCATCAATGTGGCGGGACATTTTTGTTTTCACTGCAGCCCTCAGCTCATATTGTTGTAATGTTGCATCCCCCTTTTCAAAGCAACTAAGGATCTTAAATAGTTTTAGGTTAGAAGAGTTTGATTACCAATAAAACACAGTTTAATTAAGTCTGATGGAAGTGCTTTTGCAGGATTGACAAATACCAAATATCAACTGAGAGTAAAACCAGCATCTACATAAAGCTTTGGCCCACTGTCTGTGTTTAGCTTTGAAAATCATTTAAAAATGAGAAACTTGTAACATATTTCTTGTATTTAAAAGATGTGCTATGTGCCTTGTTTAAATATATTGCATGTTTTTGTGAAAAGAGCAAAGGTCAATTCTCTATACAGAGCCTTTGTTTATTATCTGATGAAGTGAGAAAACATGACCATCTCCTGTCCTGCTATTACAAACAATTAAAATGTTGGCCATGTTGAGTTGTCCTGCACAATGCATTCCATATTATCAATTAGAGATCAATTAGTGCAATGATTAGGTCATTGCTATGACTTTTGCATAATTTTCTTTTACAGTGGTAAGGATGTGCAGAACATATGTCGCCTGCAACTACTTATATAGAGAAATATTATTAAGACAGATGTGCATAAGCTCAGAACAATTCTATAAATCATAACAATAGTAATTTAATATTTCTGTTGAAGACAAATTGGTTATGAATGAACCTTTAAGAGTAATACATTATTATACTAAACTTTGATTAATATAATACTAGATCAGCAATATAAGTTAATCTGTGAAGTCACACCTTTGATTTCTGTTCACGCAGAAGAGAGAAGGAATCCTGCAGACTGCTGTGGTGACCAAAGAATTGACCAGCACCACAGAGTAAGGCCTAATAAACGACACATGCAACATGTTTATGGGACCTACTGGATGCAATCAGAACATGCAAATTAATTATCATGTTTCTCTCTTTTGTTTTTCGGTTCCAGGATGATGATGGGGCGATTTGGTGAGTGCATCTGGGATGTAATTCCCCTACCTCAATACAAATTATCACATAAATAGCTCAGCACTTTGGTAAAAAGGTTGATCCTTTTAAAAATGAATCTGAAGAGAAACAACACAGAGGAACATCTACTTTGGTTGTGGGCCAGCTGTGATTTCATTTGTTAGATATTATAATCAGAAAAGTAATTTGAAGCTATATGGATTTTGTTCATCTTAAATATCAAATTAGAAGTAAATGCATCCTAGTTTAGAAACAGACTTAAAAATTCTAATCTGTTATGAACTGATAGGAGGATAAATGTCATAATAAAGCCAACAGTGGGTGTTTTTGCATTTTCAAGTTGTTTTTCTTTCCAGCAGAGAGGGACGCGTTTGACACTTTGTTGGATCATGCGCCTGACAAGCTCAATGTAGTAAAAACGGTAACAAATCTCTGCATCATCAGCTGATATTACATGTTTCTGAAATTTTCTTGTTTAATGACTTCAGAGTGAACCTGCTGAGCTACGTTTGTTTTTTTCTTTTCAGTCCCTTATCACCTTCGTGAACAAACACCTGAACAAGCTGAACTTGGAGGTTACTGAGCTGGAAACTCAAGTAGGAGAAATTCAAAAATATTTTATCAGAGTCAGAACTCAGAAAAATATCTATTTTTATTATTATTTTTATGTTCTGTTTGACCTCCTTTTTTCTGTTTTTTAAAAGCAGATATATTTACAAAGATGAAACCTGATGCCCCCTATTTCAGGCTGTCTGTCACATGCAGAATGCATGTTTATCTATATCATATATATTTATTAGATGTGTCTGTTTTCATTTCTTTAGTTTGCTGATGGAGTGTACCTGATTTTGCTGATGGGGCTGCTGGAAGACTATTTCGTCCCTCTATACAACTTCTTCCTCACCCCTGAAAGCTTTGAGCAGAAGGTTGTCGCACTTTTAGGAAACATAGAATTAGGTTTATTGTGTTTGTTTTAGTTCAGAAATGATTAATGCTTGTTTTGTTACCACTTAGGTTCACAATGTGGCTTTTGCTTTTGAGCTGATGCAGGATGGAGGCCTGAAGAAACCAAAAGCCAGACCAGAAGGTACTCCAATGTTTTACCACCTTACTACGGCGGCATATGAAGGGTGAAATCTGCTGAAAAAAAACAGTTTTATGCCCAACAGCAATGATGAACTGCACGGCAGCATTCCATACCCAGCAATTGTAGTATCTAGACTAGAGCTGTCAGTCTGCTAAAGAAACTGTTTGTTATTCCAAATTGTAAAAGTTTTGTTTTTTTTGCAACATAAAACAGACTAAAACTAGACTAAAACCTTTTTAAGTTTTAGTCGACTAAAAGCGACTAAAACTTTCACATATTGTAATGACTAAAATGTGACTAAAAATAATAGTTTTCATACTGAAGACTAAGACTAAATCTAAGATGGCTGTCAAAAACAATACTGGGTGAAATGATTCTACGGCACTAAAATTTATTTATCTCTTTGTGTTTTTATTGAACAGGTAATGAAGTTTGGGGGAGGTTTTGTTTGTTTTTGTTTTTTTTGCTACAGTTGTCATTAGCACAATCCTCCAGTAGGTGGAGACCTTGGGCTGATCTTCAGACAGATGATTTATACTCTTTTGATTCATCAGATCTGTCTGTACATTTGTATGCCATGCCAAATAGTATCATGAAATTGTTGCAAAAAAATTATTTCATAATTATTTTGGATCCGTTTTTCTCTTTCATGTCCTGGAAACATCTGGAGCTTAAAGTTATTTAATGTTATTTTGCTTTTTAAAGAAATAATGCAAAACAAATTCCAAAAAAGGTAAAAAAAAAACAATCCACAAACTATGTAATTCAAAATGTTAGAAATGGCGTTGAGTTCGAGGCTTTATAGAGTGGACCGAAAAAAAGCCTTGTTTTGGCTTTGAAAAAATGCAGATAATTCCGGACGAACAGGTCCGGCCCTTAGGAATGGGGATCATCCTAAAGAGGCAGACCCGTTCTTCCGGTCTTCCTGGATGGGAAGCGAAACGTCTTCAAACTTTATTCTTTATCCAGTGGATTTTTTTTTTTTACCTTTTGGAAATGACTGTGACCTGAATGATTGAGAATCTTCACTGTCACAATGCTAAACATAGAAAAAAAAGGTTTCTTTCTGAATCAACATCCCTTCTACAAACTCTGTTTCCAATATTTGCAATAATACAACTCTTGCAGTCATGGCTGCTGTAATTATCATCAGCCTTGTTCAGCTTCTTACTAAGTAGCAGGTTGATTACTTGCAACACGTGAGACACTGAGTAGAGAGATGCAGATATTAGGAGGCTAAAAGCAGGTTGGAGGCAACAGCACAGCTCTTATCTGACTGGCCTCTGTTACCGCAGACCTATTTCTGGTGATTCATTTAGCCTAGTCTCCTATGCACAGCACTTCCAAAAAAAACAGAAACCTACTTTGTGCCTGTAATATTCTCAGTTAGGAGTAATACATCATATGATAATCATTTACGAATTCTTGGGATCTATTTTAAGCTGCAGCTCTGTTTCAAAATTACAAATAGTTGCTTGAAAGGAAAGCGGTTCAACACTTATCTCAGAGCCGATTTCTTACGCAGAACAGTCTAAAATTAATAATTTCAATTGTTTCTTATTTTTTCCCCCAGATGTTGTCAACTTGAACCTTAAATCCACTCTCAGAGTCCTCTACAACCTCTTCACCAACTACAAAAACTCCGACTGAACTGGTATCCCTGATATTACACTGAATACGGAGTATCTCTGAACAGACCATAATGATGTTAGCTTAGGCTAACATCATTACAGTGTGGACACTGGAGGAGAGCATCTGGGACTGAGAGACATCATCATTATCTATAACCCCCCCCCCAAAAAAAACAACCAAGGAGGAAAGGACAGAATAAGTGAAAGGATAAAATTTCTTCTTTGATCATCTCTAAATGTCAGTATTTATTTATTCTATGCTCTGTAACGCAGCGTGACCTTTAGCTTGCATTTAAATACAGCCATCAGGGAAAAAAACACAAGTCAAAAAGGCCTGTGTTAAACTATTTGCCTTCAGTGCCGAATATTCTTCAGACATTTTCAAATGTCCCAGGATTCTTCTCTTTATGCATTTTTAAAAAATAAGTGAAATTAGATTTTATATTTTAGGTAAAAAATGCTTTACTTTTTTGTTGCAAAAACCAACCAAGCCCAGATGGTTCAAACAGCGTGTTATAATTGATCTTTTCATGTAATTGTTTAGACTATGAAAAAACCTAAATAGTAACATGAATGTGAGAGATTGTGAGACATGCTTCTGTTTTCTTTAAAACTTGTCTTCATAAATATGGTGTAAAAGTACACAAATATTATAGTTTTCATTTTAAACATATTTAATTAAAATGGTACAGAAAAAACAAATCAACTGATTAACTTGTGTTTTTTTTTTTTTTTTCCTGTGTTTCTTTAGGCTAAGATTTTATTTTTGAATACACATGCTGCATGGAAAGGCTAAATAAGTGTCTAAAAATGTAGTTCCAGGATCTAAGAATTACTTTTAATCTAAAGCTGAAATGGATTTGGAACAATATTCAGCATTGCATAAATCTTTATATTTGTATGTCACAAGGAAATTTTGGAAATTTTGACTGGGGTGTCGAAGGGATTTCCAGAGGTAGCCACATTAGCATGGTGCCTGACCAGTGGCAGTGCCAGAAACACCTTCATGGGATGGTGAGGGGGATAACTGATAGGCGGCAAAAACATCTTATGGTCAATCTATACTGATTGAAATAAACCGACAGGAGAATGAACATGCATATCTATATCTTCCAAATAAATCACTGAATAAAGCTATAAGCATATTTATACATTAGTGCCATTTAAATTAATTTATCTGTCTACATAATATAGACATTAAATGTGTTGAGTAATGTTCTTTTAAAAACCTAAAAACTAATTCATAAAATAACAAACATTCTGTATTAGCTCTTTTTACTTGTAATATATTGTTTTGAATGTTTTTTGTTGCATATTTGTGTTCAGTTTTTGGTTAATATACCTTCATTAAAAAGGTCTAAGTAGGAAATTCCACATGATGGTATAAATGCTGCCACCATCAGGCTTAATGGAGAACTTCTTGTTCCAGGGGTATTGAATTTAATCCCACGGGGAACAAGTCACCTGGTAGTGGTGGCCACAAGGGTGGGCAATGATTGGCTAGGGGTGGCCATGGGCCCCCGGGCTACCCCTCTAGACCCGCCCCTGGATTTTGGGGCATCAATGGCTTTCTGCAATAAGCACAGAAATTATTCTCTTGTCAAAAACCCCTTTTAGTTGTTTAAGAAAACTTAGAGTTATTTTCAGTTATCAGAGATATTTTTGTGGCTCTACAAAGCAAATGTATTACCTTTACTTTTACTGATTCCCATAGTTGGGGTCATGACCCAGTTAGGGACTCAACCAACATGAGGTTTGGAAATCCACCAGAGAAATTAAACAAAATAATAAACATTTATATTGAAGAGCTTGAAGATATAACAACATCACTCAAACATGGACAAAACCATCTACTATTTTTGTTTATGTTATTTAAAATATTATCACACCAGTGGTTAATTGATTTTGTGGAAATGTTTCTACTGAACCAGACATTTTGGTCATGGGACGACTGATACTATTTTGTAGGTCAGAAGCTGGAAAGTTTGGTGACCTTTATAATGAAAAACTAATAGATCCACATATCAGCGTTTCTCTCTGTTTCTGGTCAGAATACAATCATCACAGAACACACTAAATGATTCAGTTCCTCATTTTGGTAACTGAGGTTATATTTTCTTCTAAAAAAAAGATAGGATGACTTTATTAATAGAAACAGTTTTGAAGAAACTATAGAAAATGAACTACGTTAAACTTCACTACCACAATTTTTTGCAAAATTAGACTTTATACAGCATAGATATGTAAGGGAACAGTCTTAGTTTCTAACAGCCTTATCTTATTGGGGAGTGGCGGCCTAGTGTTTAGGGCATAGGGATGGGAATCCTGAGGTTGTGAGTTTGAAACTCACTCCCACAGACTGCCACTCATGCTCTCTGAGCAAGACCCTTAACCCCTGAATATTCCCGGTCGCCCCACGATGGCAGCCAACTGCTCCCAAAAGGGATGGTTAAATGCAGAGGTAAAATTCTCCAATGTGAGATAAATAATTATTATGCATCAGATTATAGTAATAAGTTATAATAAAATAATGGTGCTTAGTTTGTTACGGAGAGAAAATAATAATTATTAACTAAGTAGCTCCAATTGAATTCTATATTAAAAATATACCACCTTACAGGCTTAACGGTAAGCTAGGCTAAGATACAGTATCTAGATATTGGCTGCTCATAAGTACTCCTCTTGCAAATCTACTTTTGCTTTATACAGCAATGCCAAAAAGTTGCAAAACTTTCAAAGGTGTTGACATCTATAATGTAATGTTAAGATTTTATGTCGTAAAAATTCTTAATCCTTTTCAAAATAAATTGTTCAGTATTTATACCATCCAATTTACCTTGACAAATATGTCAAATGAAGAAATGCAAAAAGGTAAAAACATGGACATGAGCTAAACTAGTACTCTGTCGAAAAACCTTTGATTCTCTGAATTAATCTTTGATTTCAGAGTATTAACTTAACTTATTTGTCCTTTACTTTGCAAAAATGTAGCAATTCTGTCAGACTGTGATGACATTTCCTGTTCTCGCAGATTCTAAGTTGGACCTGGTTTTAACCCTAGCTGGGTCCTTCCAAATTTTTAGTTTGTAGGTAATAAACTCATTAGTTTGTTATTTCTGATGCATGTTTCTGATTTATATCCCTCTTTATCATCAGCTTTCATGCAGACACCTGGAGATGTTGGTCATAACATCTGACATTTGGAGGTTTTAATAATATCACCCACCTTGACAAAACATAAGCTCCATCTGAAGCAAAATAACCTGACACGAAGAAGCTCCCAAAGCTATATTTCACTTTGGATTCTTTGCTTTGGTTATGAAGGTTGGTTTAGCATCAAAAGTAACTTTGGGAGGTTGGAACCATTGCTTGTTAGAACATTGCTGTGATCTCTTGTAATCTCCATGCAATAAAATTCATGTTTTTGTTGATGGATGCAGTTGAGCCACTGTTAAAAATAGTCCTCCACAGCTGAACTTTTTATTTCATCAGATTCAACATCCTTGATAACAAGGGTTAATTTAAAGGCTAGAGTTGTGCATCTTTTTAGGTAAACAGATTATTGCAAATATTATTATGCATTTTTTTCTTTCACCTGTTTCTGTTTCTTTTTTAAAATGATTTATATAAGATTTGCTCTGTATATATAACTCAGTAATGGGAACAGTGAATGACCCTGACCTGGCTGACATAGCATCATAAAAGCTGATGGTTCAATTTACCTTAAGTGCACTGTCTTCTTGCTGTCTTAGGAAAGACCGATCTGGGGCATCTTGATGCTTTTAACTGAGTCTCAGAGGAGGTCCGGACTCTCACAGTGCGCCTGAAGTTGATCTGGCCCTGTGGTGCTACCTAGAGACCTCCTAAAATGTACAGAGCACGTCTGTTCACTCATTCTCCAGCCAAACTGAATAATTGAGAGAATAGATGGGTCGATCTAGTCGCAGTTCGCACTGCAAAGCTCAGATGCATGATGGTTTTTTTCCCTTCATCTTGCTTGTCAAGAAGTAAAAGCCTGGAATCAAACTGAAGGAGAATTTCATTTTATTCCTTACGTGCGTGTTGGGGTAGATTTGCTTTTCGTCTTTGAGAGGAGACAGGCAATTCCTACAATTTAGGTAGGATAGAAGAATTATACATTTATTTTAGGCCTGTATTTTCTTGTCTAATACCTTTGTTGCTATGGTAACCTTCCACATCTCCCAAATTGCCCCTCTTCTCCTATGGGTGGTCTTTTTTCCTTTTCCCCAGCAAAGCCTTGAACACGCTGATTGTTTTTTTTTTTATTATTCTTTTTTGTCTGTCTCTATTCCTGCTTTCATTTTGTCTGCTTTTTGCTGTTTTTGACAAAATTGAAGAGGCTGGACACCAGATGTCGGCAAGTTGGGCCAACCAATCGCAGATCGAGAAGCCTGAATGTTTCAGGCCTCAACAAGTCACGCTTCTCCCAGGCTTCCAGAGGTGCAGATTTTCTAACAATACATGGAGTTCTCTCATCTCACCTCACACGTACTTGGCTTTATTATAATCTCAAATACAGATTGTGTCACTGAACACAAACAGCCTTATCTGAAAACGGTCTGCTGCAAACCCTGAATCAAAAAGAGGAAGTGCTACCTTCCCTCATGCCACATCCTCTCAGTTGTGCTTATCTTCCTTTTTGACCCTCAAACGATCTTTTTCTTTAAAACTATTTGCAGTCAGGTCTGTGATCTCATTAGAATACCCTTTTAGATCATAGAGCAACCTTCAACATTTTGCAAGCGGATTTTGATAGTTCGTAGAGTTAACATCGTGTAAAGGAATTCACATCAGCAGAACTCCCCTGGTCCCTTTTGTGATTGCTCTCACTAAACTAAAGGTAAGCTTATTCAGAACATTTTTATGTTTACGTCTTTGTTTGAAAGTTACTGTCAACCTCAGGAAAAAGAAGCCACACATGCATAAAACACATGAGGGGAAAGAAAACTTGCTCAGGGAGGCTATCGTTTCTCTTCTCCGGATCCAGGAAACTACAAGCAGACATGCTTCATATCATGTCTGCTTTGTCAGAATGTGTGACTTTGTATTTTTGCTGGGCTTTGTCTGAAACCATGAGGTTTAAAATATTCAGTCACTTAACCCTGCAGGCATCGATGATACCAGATCTGCTTCGTGCAAAGCTTATAAAATATAAAAGGAAGTGAGTAAACTTGACGTTTCCTAATGTAGGGTGTTTTTGTCTAGATCTGTACGTTTCTCCTTTGTATACAGAAAACATGACCTTTTTAAAACTTTCTGCAGGAAGTCTTTTTTCTTTTTCAACTTTGCTGTTCAAAAGTTTTTACACCCCTCAAATGTAAAACTCCATTAATTATATTTATTTATTTTTTTTCTACTGTAGACCAACACAAAAGATGAACATTCAAAAAAAAAAAGAAAAAAAAAAGATATGTCTTTCTGACTTTCTTAACCTCAAAAGTTGCCAAACCTGCCTTTTAGCAAGTGCTTTCTTCTTGACACTTTTCTGGAAAGTCACTTTGTCGATTACTCTTCCTAAAGTGGTCTGGCCAACATATTTCTCTTCTTGAACTGCCTCTTTGCTGCTCCTTCAGAATAACGGGGCTCTCAGCTGTTTCTTACAGGTAGAAAGCTATGTTTTGGAAGATTTGCTTGAGTGCATTTTTTTGCTGTGGACCCGAGCAAGACACTAAACCTAAAGACACTAATGTCTGAATCTGTTAGTACAACTGTTCCATCACAGAGTGAATGAGAGTTTATGAAACTGAAAGGCATCTGTTAGCATATAGGAAAGATTATATTAGACTAATACAAAATAATGAATAATTATCATTTGCAGTTGTGTGATGCCTATACTTTTATTTTTTAATAATGGACCGAGAGGCCCAAAGCTTTGGACACTGTTTTAAACCCTTACCATATTATGAAATTGCTCAAATCTAAATCCCTTACCTGTCTGCTGTCAGTGGCCTTTATAATGCTGTGTTTTGGAAGATTTTTCAAAACAACCCTCAAACATCATTTTAAAAACTAGTTTTGAAACTTAAGCACTAGATTATATTCCATGTAAGAGGATTAATCATGAAATTATGAGTAATGTAAAGGCAGTTTGTTGCAATAATTTGTATTTAGGGGTATCAGAGTAGATGTTGATAAATTCATATAGACTATATGATTATGCACGTCTTTATGTTGGCCTACCACACAAAATACTAATTTATTCATGCAGAAGTGTTTGGTTATTATGTAACAAAAAACAAGAAAAAATAAAAACAACAAACTTTTACAAGGTGCTGTAGATATTTAAACTATGAGCTGCCTGTCAACCGGATCTGCATTTTCTCATCTTGGCTGGTAGATGGATCACCTGCAGCAGCACATAGAGGAGTTATAAAATTAGGGACACTTAACAAACTGTAGGGATAAAGAGAATTGTTTTTTTGCTGCCACTGGTATCTTTATCTGTTCCTTATTAGGTGAATATTCAGCTGATTCTTGCCAACAGGTCAGCAAAGTGTTTACACCCACCTATTGGAGGAGAGATGGAGGCCGCTGTTTTTGAATACCAAAAAAAGGAAGATCCCCTGGAGGTTGAGACTTTTCAGGGTATGTGTGCCTCAAACGGGACATCGTTCAGTTTACGGAAACCCATCTGCTTCTCATTTAGCAGACTGAACATCTCAGACACTCCTCCCACCCTCATATAGTCAGTCAATTCAGAACTAATTTATAATTCAATTATTAAGCCAACTTTTTTCATCATAGTGAGTATAGAGACACATTTATTGAGCCCTTTGGGTAAAACAATTAATGCAATGGGGTCAAATGTTCTTGTTTTTTAGTTGTTAATATAAAATAAGGAGAACACCGGTAGTTTAAAACCTAGACTGAAACTTTTTTTAATAAATAAATTCAAACTATAAATGTGTTTTCTTCATGTTAACTCACCTGGAGCCATTACCGTTATAATCCCACCCTAAAATTAAATGATGTCAAATAAATCTGTATGCAAAGGTTAGGGTCCAATTTAGTTGGAGGTATTTAACTATGTCTTTTTTTTTTTTTTTTTACTTTATACCTTTGTGGGGTGGGGAGGTGGTACTGTTGGCCTGGTGCAGGGGTGTTCAGGTCCAGTCCTCAAGAGCTACCATCCTGTAACTTTTAGATGCATCTCTTCTCTAACACACCTGAATCAAAAGGCTCAATCCGCTCATTTAGCCCAGCAGAGGCATGCTTATGACCCAATCATTTGATTCAGGTGTGTTAAAAATGGGGTGCATCTAAAAGTGGATAGTAGGAGAGTAACTCTTTAGGACTGGACTTCAACATCCCTGGCCTAGGGGTTAGAGCAGTGCACTTGTGCTCTGAGAAGGTTGCAAGTACCTGGTTTGATCCCAACAGCTTGCACTCTGGGTCCCTGAGCAAAACCCTTTTAACCAAAGTGCACCCCAGGAGCTGCACAATGGCAGCATACTGCTCCCCAAGGGGATGGGTTAAATGCAGAGGTAAATTTCTCCAGTGTGAGATCAATAAATTTAATTCATTATTATAATTTGACATAGAGATATTTGCATATACACATGATGGCAATGTGCACAGAATCTTTAAAAAAATGGAGACTTAGTTTCCCCAGGATTCTGCTCCTTAGGAGGCTAGCAAGGAGCTGACAATTAGCTTTAATGGAATAGAATTAAATAGAATAGAATAGAATACAATAGAACTAGCTTTGTTTTATACCGTGTGGAAATTAACGCGCCAAGCAAGAGGAGAGGACAGAGCTTAAAGGTTCACATGAGAGCAAATATATAACAGATATTTTTTAAAATTTAGCTGTACAGTAGAAGAGAAAAAAAATCTCAGAAAGAAAATACAGTTCACTTATTAATAAAAAAAAAGCATATTTAGGTAAAAATTAGAATCAAAAAGAGAACTAGCGTCTGGTTTATAGAGAAATGGAATCGCTTCTTCTACATTGACTCAAAAATAGTGGGACTTTATTTCTTAAGTAGGGCTTTTATCTGCATTAATCGATGTACTCAAACTAAAGGTTGCCTTTTTCTATATTTGCAGTGTGAGATTATGCCACAAAAATTATGAAATAATTATAAAAGAAATTATTTAATGATTTTTAGTTTAATGCACTTTTCAATTATTGATACTAATAAATGAAATGAATTATTGTTTGAATAAAACCAAATATATTATAAAAAGGGGACTGAACTTCAGTTTCCATGAGCCTTTCATTTGGCCTTCACAGCTTTCTTAAGTTGACATATTCATAGTATGCTGTATTTTTCATTATGTTCTTTCTTCATGGCTAAATGGTTTTATCAAAGGCTTTTCTTGTCCCTGACTTAAACTTCTGACTGCACATGAAAATAGCTCTGCTGATAGTAACAGTTGGCTAATAGAGAATAAAGCAGTGCAGAGTCAGGAGGAAATGATTTTCTGAGGTTATGTCAGGGATCATAGTCTAGATGGTTTTCTTCTTTTTTTCTTTGCTGGTTAAAGACATTAATATTAAATGAATGAATTAGTGATGTTATAAAATTTTTTCCTTTTTTTTAAACAGGAGAAAAAAGAAAGATCATACAGCCGACTTCTTTAAAAGACCCCAAGCTTGAAAACCTAAAACAGGTAAAAATCTGTTATTTTCTTTTCTTTTGTATATCTGTTAATATTCATAATATATTATATATGGAAGACCGTTTCAAACACATGAAAAAAAAAGTCATATAGAAAGTCATAAATTCGAGTTTCAAAGTCATAATTATGAGATATTCGACTTTCAAATGTTGTATCTCATAATTATGACGTTGAAAGTCCAATTTATGACTTTGTATCTCATAATCTTCACTTTATATTTTGTATTTTTATTCTGTATTTTCTTTATTTCAGGTGGAAACGGGCTTCCATAATTATAATAACATTTACCTGAAAACTTTAATTTAAATCAATGTCATATTCTGTTATTTCAAAACTATAAACTTCAAAGCCTTTAATTTAGTGACCTTTTATGTGATATTTGACAGCACAGGTCAAGAGTTAATTGTTCATTAAAAGTCAAATTATATATATAGTTCTAAATATATTTTACAAATAAAATTTATTCTAGCCATTTAATGAGCTTTATCCAATTTCCCATCAACTCAGATAATTTTCTGCTTTCCCTAATGAAGAAAAGCTTCTGCTCATAAAGAGGCTGCCACCACCATGTTTAGACATAGGTACAGTGTTTTCAGGAGCCTTTTAAGGGATCTTTGCCCAAGTGATCGCTCTAAAAGTTCTCTCTTGTGGAAATATCTCGGCAACAAAGTTTCTTGGTCAAGACATATTAAATTTATGACAAACAATATAGGAAAATCTTTAGCTGCAGTAAGAAGATGTCATCAGTACCTTCCAGCTAAGATTGTGGTGAAGAATGTTGTCAGAACTCTGATAATTTCTTAAATAGAATATAATTGGCAGATTATCCAGGCCAGCGCTTAAAGAAAAGACCTAGAACAACTGCAAATGATGCAAAGTAAGGCTGCAAATATGGCTACGCTGCTCTTTAGAAGCAGTATAAAGAACATGTGATATTGAAAAGAAGACTGAACTTTCGAGATGAGGCTTTGGCCTTTTTTTTGTTTTCTACTTATAAAATATTAAAACTTAAACATCCATTCTTCTTATTTAGTCAATTTAGAGACAATAGAGAATCCTATGATTATGCCACCAGGCTCTTTTGAAGAATGCTTTCTATTCCAGAAGCAAATAAAAATTTTCTTAAGAAATACCTTTATTTATGGAGCAATTAAAGAATGGAATGATTTGCCATTAAAACGTATTAATATAGAGCAAATGTTTTTATCTAAAGCCAAACTGTGGACATATATAGGCCTCCTCTTTTTATGAATGTAATAAACACCTGTTTGTAAGTAAAAAGCAGGTTGTGGACCGATGTAGTGTGTATCTAAATTTCATTGAAATGTCTTTGTATTTGGTTTATATGCTTGTAATAGTTAACATTGACAATATTTTTGTGTATGTATGCTTTCAATGATTCCAGAAAGATTAGCTGGACATAAAGATAAACAAGTGACGATCAGAATAATAAATTAACAAATTCAATTACCAAATTATGTTTAAACTAATGGTTAAAAATTAAATAACAGTTTTTTTTTTTGTCCAGTTCATTTTCACATAAAAAGTCTATTTAAAAACAGGCTTTCAAGATGTTGTCTTTTTAAACCTGCTAATAATAGAAAAACAGTTGTGAAAAGATGTGTTTGATGTTTCTGACTGTGTGATTAATTGTGTCCTGAGAGGCATTGATTGATTGGATCAATACCAGTTTGAAAGCAGAACACATCGTTATTCAGAGTCTGGAGGAGGATCTTTATGATGGACTCGTACTTCATCACCTGCTGTGTGAGATATTACATGTTTGATCTTCCATTATTTCACTCAATCAGAATATAAATACCTGAAGATATGGAACAGACAGTCTCCTAAACTTAAATTTAACCTTTCAAATAATTTCTTCCTGGTTTCTGCAGCCAGATTAGGTGGTGTGAAATTAGACGTGGATGAAATAGCTCTGACCAGCTCTGCTCAGATCCACAAGCTGGAAGTTATCATGGAAGAGCTCAACAAGAGGCTGGGTGTGGAGGACAGCAGCCTGATCAAATGGGACGTCAAACGTGAGTCATGCATCGGACTGGGATCCAGCAATGACAGCAACAAGTGAACAAATGTTCCCTTCTGGCACCAACTTTAACTCCATATCACGACAGGCTTTGATGCTAGCTTGAGGATGCCATCTAAACTCATGCCAACTGGGGAAGAATTTAAACAGAGATATTGAATTTGGTTTTGTAAATGATAAAAAAGACATAACAGGCAAATTCCTAAGTTTTACATGCAATTGAATGGCTGAAAGTGGCTGAAAGTTGAACTTGTGGGTTCATAATAATGTGCCCTAAGAAGGATCTCATGATGGCAATGTGACCTTCTATCCAAATTACAGTTGGAAAAAAAAAATAAGCTCTTAAAATGACAGGTTTTGAACAAGTGAATACAAATTTCCAGGCCTTTAAATTGACTGTTGCTTAATTTACAGACTTCCCAGCCACTCCTGTGTGGCTACGACCGGAGCATTTTGATTAGCCAGCAAAACGCACTGATTGCAAACTTCATTTTCAAAACATCTCATAATGAAGGAGAACTCTGAACAGTTGTTTACCTTTTTCGAAGATAAGAAATGTGAATTTTTAAATTTTATTTTAGTTTAATATGGGAAAAAAGTCAGAATTCTGACTTTAATCTCAGAATTCTGACTTTAGTCTCAGAATTGTGACTTTTTTTCTCAGAATTCTGACTTTTTTCTCAGAATTCTGACTTTTTTCTCAGAATTCTGACGTTTTTCTCAGAATTTTGACTTTTTTTACCATATTAAATTGAAATAAAATTTAAAAATCAGTTATCAGTTCAGTGGCCCTAATCCTCTTCCATACACAACAGATAGGATAAAAGTGTGTATTTCTGAAATGTATGTATTCATGTATTTTATGTATTTTTCCTCACTGTTCTCAAAAAAGAGAGTAAAGTTGCAGAATGAGTTCTTCCCCAGATGTAAGGAGGAGAGGTGCTTCTGTTTTAGTGCAATATTGGTCACTCTTACATCTTTCTCTCTGTTTGTGAATTCATAGCAGTAAACCTCAAAGATTAGCACCTATTGCTTTAGTTGGGTTACAGAGAGACACCAGACTGTAGATTTGCTATGTCAGCAGATAGCTTGGCTAATTACCAAGCTTATACCAGATTGATGAAAAAGGTAGAATAAAGAAAAGACAATATCCTGCGCAATAGGTAGATTTTTAATTTCCCGCGTTCAATCAAGGTCTAAAAATGAAAAGTCAAATTTTAATACAATAAGATCTCAATACTGAGGAGCAACCCACTGCTTAAGTTCTCTGCTTTTGAATTTATCTCACTGATTATGATGAAATGATGATTAAACCTTTGATTTTTCTAAAATATATTTAGCTACAGGAACGAGGAGCATTTTTCAATGGGAACATGCAATATTTGACTGAATTAGAGGTACTAACAACAAACTTGTGTTAAATTGATTCATCTTCATTAGCATTGTATATATTTAATATATATATAAAATACGAATCAAGTATTCTATATTTCATTTAATAACTGTTGCCTACCTTTGGTAAATGTAAACCATGCTATCCCTTCTGGTTTCAGATTGTTGTTTTTAGCAGAGTTTTTTTTTTTACCCATGTTCAACCTCCTAGGAGTCTCCTAACAGCTCATGCCTAATATTCAATACTGTGTGTCTGAAACACTTGCTAACAATGTGGACACAGACCTTGATGATTACTACAAGGACCAGTCAACCTTTAAGAGTAACAGGAACTCTTTACTTCTGCAGCACCTGCCACAGAATACCTTAAGGGAGACAGTTGTAAGCCTTATATAGATAAAAACAAAGATTTAGACCAATTAGGTTCCCAAGACGTATGCTGTTTCACAAGGGTGAATATATGTTTCACTGTTGACCGTGAGGATATCAAATGGTCAGATAACAACAGCCTGAGTTAACTCGACATCCTCTATTTTCACCTATGAAGGGTTCACCCTCTTCAGCACTTCAGGGTTTTTCACTGTTCTCCCCGATCCCTACAAGACAAACAAGTCAGGGATAAGTCCCTGTTTTTGCTCGTCTGAATCTCATAACCTTGTTTTAGAACCATTGCCTTTCTAAATGCAACCCTAAGCCTGTCATTTTCAGCTTCTATTTTATTTATCCCAGATCCTTTTGGGTCATCTTGTGTGTTCTGAGATCTATCACATCAGTGCAAGCTGAACATTGTTTTTTCTCGCTCTGTTGTTGGCCTGTCAGTCATCCACAACAAAGATCTCCTGGCTACAATTCATCTGCTGGTTGCCATGGTGAAAGCTTTTCAGCCAAAGCTAAATCTGCCACTGAATGTGAAGATTGAGGTTGTTATAGTAGAGGTAAGTCTTTTCTTCCCTAGATCTGGCTTTAACTACTTGGCATAATTTACACACTGTAGGGCCTAATGTTTAACTTTCATCCAGGTTAGCAAGAATGGGATCAAATCTGAGGTGCAGACTGAAATTCTGACTGGAGACGGGTAAGTAGACCTCTGTGTTACTCTTGTCTTAACCTTAAATAAATAAAAAAAAGAAATCTAACATTTATATTGTCTTTATTAGCAGCCGAACTGACACAGACTCCTCTAGCAATCCTGAAGGTGAGTGAGAGCGGTCAGAGGTTGAGTTGATGTGGCATCTTGAATGTCATCCAAACACCATTAGAGTCTACTTACATATTTTCTGGATGTGTCACCAACCCAGGGGAAGATCCCATTGAGCGACTGCTGAGGCTGGAGGCTAACAAGGTCAACACAGTGAAGAAGGTAAAAAGAAAAATAACAACAGGAGGAGACATGCTGGCATGGTTCTAGGTGTTGACGCTCTCAACACTGCATACTGCGTGGGCTTCTGGTCCACATCTCAACTTTCACTACAATAAATAAGTCTGTTTAGCCCTGTGAGAGCAACCTTTATCTTGAGTGATTATTTTATGTTAGATTCCCAGACAAAAAAAAAATAAAAAATCCAGACATTTTAAACTGTCTTCATAAAAAAAGGCCAGCTAGAAATAAGTGGCTTATTAATTTATGTGTATATAATGACAGATTATCCAATTAAAACAGTTTAATTTAGAAAGGTTACAGAATGTTTTAGTTATTGAAAATAAGCACCATCAGTAATGCCTGTGAATCACTGCATCTGTCATTGCAGCTATTTCAGCCTACACCAGATTTATTAGGCAAGACAATGCTAAGCCTGCTTGTTTGCACAGCACTATTCATACACAAAGTGATTTGAAGCGCTTTATGAGGATAACTGGTGAAGAAAAAAAGTACACCAAAAACCTCACTTTGGATGGTTTGCTGGATATGGTGATTTCTTGCACAGGTGGAAGTTTATGAAGATTTACAACAGAGCAGGATGAAGATAGCTGTTGTTCAGCATTGGTTTTAGCACTACACCTTAAATCTCTATGATTTTTTCCATGTATGGAATTGTTTAATATGACCAAACCCCTTTAAGTCTTTTGGTAATCATTTGGCTAATTTCTTTTATAAACTATACTTTATATCTAGATCATTCCCTGCTGTATACCATTGCAGCTGGGCAACAGAGGCCCCTGACTTCTACCCCCCTTGCTCTATTAATCATTTCCCAAAACACTTGAAGATGACAGAAGTGTTTTATCTATAGGGCTAATAATGCTTTCAGTCCTCATTTAAAGGAGCCACCAGTTTCTGTAGAGTTCAAATGCTGCAAGGGATCTGGATTAGTCACATTTGCCAAACAAGTCTGAAATGCATTTAGGCCCATTCTGTATTTTAAATTCTACTGTTTTTCATCAGCTGCATTTAAAAATCAGTGTCTGCCTTTTCAAACAGGGTCTACTAACCAGGTAGACACGATGTGGTGTCTCTGAAATAAACATAACAGGAGGCGAGAAAAAAAATTATGACATCTGCTGATCCCCAGAATTTGCAATGTACACTGCCCTGCAGTTGTTAGTGCTTTCAATCACAATCATCAGATCAAGTGAAAAAGTAGCTTGTAGCAAGTCTAAAAAACTAATACAGGAATGAAAATGTATCTGTGCTAAACAGTTTTAAAATATGTTATGTCATATGACGAAGTCAATACCTTCAATCTGCATCTCGCTATCTTATGGCCGCTGTTCACATCTGTGGTGCTGAAAATGCATATTTGCATATGCTCCTTTAAACTCTTTCTCGTTTCTCGTTAACACAGAGGTGTTTGATGTATACTTTTATGTCCTTTAAGACATGTAAAAGTGCATTCTTAGATATGTGATATGCTGTAAGCTAAGCTGGAAACAACATAAGAGATTTTCTTTGTTAAAACAGCTCATTAATTGTTGAGCTGATTTGTACTTACAATTATCCTTGAAAATAAATTTTTATTTAGGTATGGACCCTCCTAGTTGTTCTGTATTTTAGTTTGGTTTTGTGTCTCTATGAGGTTACAGTATATCCTTTTTGTTGTGCTGGGTAGCAGGTATTTTAGAGTAAGACTGTCATTAAGTATTAAGTAAAGCTGCAGTATCTGACATTTTTATTCTTTTCAGGTTTTACTGCTAAAAATACAATGCAGCTAGACCTGCAAGGAATATAAACTTGTAGATTTTATTCCCATGGGAAAAGCACATCATTCCTGTAGCATTCATTTCTTATGGCTGTTTACTTGCCTGCTACTCAGTGTAATGCTGTTAGACTTTCAGCCGAGATATCTGCCTCCTATTATTGACCATTAGTATCTTAGCTTATCATCTTTTTTCTTGTGTGGTTTATGAGCAACCATTGGAGCACTTTAATACATGAATAAACATTTTAACAAAGAGTGCAGGGTAGTCACATGGCATGCAAAATAAACGAAGCTTACCATTGCAAGTCTGGTCTTATAATGCCCCACTGTAGCTGAAACTAACATTACCTCTCAACTTCATTACTTCCATTTTCAGGCCATCTTACACTTTGTCAACCAGAACATTGGAAACCTGGGTCTGCAGGTGGCTGATATGGACAAACAGGTACAATCTGACATTTAGTCTATCATGGGCTGCAGAGTTATAAAAATAGACCTACTGTTTACCATTGTCCAAGATTTCATCATCGTCTACCTGAGCGTAATTCAAGGTTCAGTGTTTTTGTTCCCCAGTTTGCTGATGGAGTGATACTGCTGCTGCTGATTGGTCAACTGGAAGGCTTCTTTATCCCACTGTTTGAGTTCAACCTGACCCCTGTTAATGACGCTGAGATGGTAAAGTATGAGTTTATGATTTTGGGGATTTTATTTCAATGGATTTCATAATCTCAACATAGGAATATAATATTTTTATTCAAAAAGTAACATATTTTTTTGGCTGTCATGCGGGGAAGTCTAAAATGCTTTATTTTTTATATATCCAATCTCTTATCTAAACACTTTAGCACAAGTTCAATTTATAAGATGTATTTGCTCCATTACCCACACAAATCACATGGACTCACTTTTACTGATGTCTGTAATTTAAATGTACTTAAGGTAAGGGGTATATGATGGGTTCATGAATAATTCATGCTTGGTGACATCATTCCTCCCCAAAATACATGCTGTTGAATGCTATGAACAATCATTTCAAACTAGTAATTCATATGTCCATGTTTGTGAAAGTATTAAAATACCACATATCATTTCAACTGCAAAATGAAATGTACTGTATTGTGTTCTCACATTTCTAAATGGAATTTTTATGTATGGAGGTATAAATTCGTTTAAACAATTTTTGATGTAAAATTGCAATAATTTAAGGATGACTGTGTATTTTTTGTTTATTTTGCATTTAACTTTAGCTCCATAATGTGACCTTAGCACTGGATCTTCTGAAGGATATTGGCCTGCAGTTGCCCAATATTGATCCACAAGGTGAGAAAATTGACTCTTTTTCAGGAACAAAACAACAAAACAAAACTAAAAACAAAACAAATCAACAATATAATATAAAGTGATTAACTGGTGACAAAAAAGTACAATCTAACGGATTCAGACAGCCAAAATGCCCCCTGCTCCAAGACAACAGTGTGAAAGTAATTCAGATTATCTCCTCTATCAGCAGGATTAATCTGACTGAAATGGAAAAAGACAAAATCTGTTTGTATGTTAGGCTGGATGCTTTTCCCAAAGTTGATTTAATCTTTGAAGCGGAGTGGGGTAAGGGAATTGCAATGTTTTAGAGGGAGAAGATGAAATTGTTTTGGGAATATAAATGAGTGTGACTGCAGTCCTGGTATTTATCCCTGAAGATAATTTTCTCAGTGTGAGTACATCATCTTTCATTTGCAGAGGAGCAACAGGAAAGATGGCCTCAAAGGGCCAATGTTATGGTGGGGTTCTCTGATAGGAGAAGGGATTGAACTCGGTTTCTGGGGATACCTGTATTGTCTGGAAGGAGAAATCTGTTAATAAGCTTTTTTGCTATTCTTTATGTATCCCAGTTATCATCCATTCATGAAAAATATTAGTGCTTTTCCTTCATTTAAGTAAGATAATCAATACTAATTATTAAATCACAAATTATCATATTTCCTGCAGAGACTTTGTAATTATTGGGTGTTTGTTAGAGACAGTGAAAAGAAAAATATTAGACTTTTCTCAAGATGTTTTATTATTTAAATATTTCTGAATAATGAGAGGATTTTCCCATTTGAAAACATTGGAAGAAGTTAGAATTACACTGCTGATGCAATACATTTTTTAATAAAGTCCAAAGCAGACATTTACATGCACTGTATAAAAAGATATAACTGTTTTTCTTGCATTTAAGACAGATTAAACACAATAATATTTCTAATTGCCAAATGCCAGGAAAATGAGGGAGATTCTTATTATTGTCTTAAAAAAATTCCAACGTTAAAGACTTGGAAGTTTGCTGTAAGATCATTTAGGGATACAGAGAAGACTGTATGATGACTAATAGCTGCAAACATGCTGTGAATATATAAACTTGCTGTAAGCACACAAAGTACTGCAAACAATTAGGCCTACTCTAACAAATAAAACATGCAAAGGAAAAACACAGCATAATAGAAATGTTAAAATAAATAAAAAAAAATAGAGAACAGTAAAGGGCAAACCCACTGCAAATACACAAATATGTTAAAAACAGAGAAAATCTTGGGAAGATGCTCATTGAAGACAGACTGAGATCCAGATCCTGTAGCCAGATGAGTGTTTGCAATTATTTAAGATTGTGCATAATCTTGTAGTACTGTGTGTCGTACAGAACTGCATTATATCACATCAAACTATATATTGTCTGGTTCATTGTACTATATCCACAGTAGTAGTACCTTTAAATACCAAATAATGCTTCTCAATTTAAAGTTGAATCGAATCACATTTTATACTAACATTAATGCATACTTATGAATACTAATAAAATGTACACTTTTATTTATTAATAGAGAAATATTGTTATGTAATAATTTCAACCACATTACTGCACTTATCTGAAACTCATCTTTTTCTCACTGAAAATAAAGGAACAAAAGGCTAAGGGAAACTGACATATTGGGGCTTAAATTAGTCAATAGCAAATGGATCAGCCTCTTTTCTCTGTGGATACATTATTGATGAGATGAGCTTCTGGCTAAGCTTCAGCATCCCTCTTACAAGCACCTAAACTTTCCTACTATCTCCCTCAACTGACATATATGGCACCTTTTCATTTCTAGATATATTCTCTGTACTATAACTAATCAAGTAAAGACCACTCCAATTAATCCTAGCCCAGAGATAGGGGTAATTTAATTCATTTTTTGTGTCTTTTTAATTAACGGCATAATTGCTGCATGGGAAGGGGAAATTCCAGGACTAAAGGCCTAAAATGGGAGCATACTGTGTGCATTAATTAGATGAGGAGGGATGGAGTCAATCTTAATGTCACATTAATTCACTTAGTGGGTCCCACCAACTACAAGCAAATTGGGGTGAGCCCATCCCACCAAGGACAGGGAGATTAAATTTCTAATGGATTTATCTTGTGCCTCTGATCTTTTGACCTGTTCGGGGGGGATTGTAAGAGGAGCTATTAGCTAATGTTCATAAAATGTTGTTACTGTACTTTTGATTTTGATTTATGGACACTAATTTTGTAATGTTTGTCCTGTGAATATCGTGACAGATATTGTCTCTCAGGATATCGCCGCCACCTTGAAGGTCCTTTACAGCCTTTTTAAGAAGCACAAAAAAAACTGAGGGAGAGGATGCTGGATGAAGATAAACTGAATGGAAATGCAGAGAAACTAGGGGGAAGTGTTCGATGCAGCTAAAGCTGTATCTTGTGTTTATTTGACATTTTTATTTTTTGTTGTTTGGGATCTATTTGTAAAAAAAAATAAAAATAAAAATAAAAATAGTTGGGTTGGTTTAAAGCCCATTATAGAACAATTTAAACTGTTTCAAATGCCAAAAGAAAAAATAGACTTGTTGGAAATCTTAAAAACTCAGGTTAAAAACTGTTGATGAAAATATTAAGTCTTTATCTTGGTAAACTGAATGGACCAAATACTTCAATGTTAACTTTGCAGCAGCATCTGCAGCAGCGAACAGCTTGAAAACGACGAGTATGTCAGAAAACTGATAGTGAGAGGTGTTAGTTACGGCTCTGCACACCTGACTGAGCCTCAGATAGGAAAGCATGACTGCAGCAGCTGATGGGAGTCAGTTTATGCAAATAAAGCTACATATTCAGAAAGCTGCTAATATCTTACTGGCATCAGTGGGGGAAAAATGGATTGGCTCGTAACAGAAAAGAAGGAAAATAAAGAGAAAGTCTCCTTTGAAAGCATTCATCACAGTTTACAGGGTACATTGGGTTTTACAGATTTCTTTCTGTGCCAAAAGGTTTTGTGCCAAAAGAAAGTACTGTCTAAAATGTGTTTCATTTTATTATAACTTAGCTTGATGTAAATTGTATGAGTTTTATTGTTGATATGTTGCTCTTAAATTCATCATCATTATAAAAGGATATGGTTTATGATGCAAATGTTCAACTTAAATCCAAATGAGTGACTAATTACACCTACTGTATTTAATATTTTCAAGATATGCATTGATGATTTTTTTATTGACTGTATGTTATTCAGAATAAGCCAATTGACAGCATGTATAAAATGTGCTATTTTTCCTTGTTTATGAGTCTAATAAAATTTCAGTTCCTGATATTTTATTAAAAAGTTTTTGGTGTCTCTTATATTTTACTTTTACTTTAAACAACTGGTCCATGCTCTGTTTACTGTCACATTATCAGTCTTTTGTCTCTGCAAAAATATGTTGCTGCTTCCTCCTGTATTTCTGCTGATATTCTGTGAATACAAATTCCAAATTCAGTGAAAAGTTTACTGCTCATTTTCACATGAAGAGCAAACATGATGCTGTCAGAAAAGATAAGAAACAGACTTGCAAAAATCAAACATGGAAGACTTAAAAAATACCATTATCTGTCAAACTTTTCTAGCAGCCTTCCAGAGGAAGTGATGCTGCTGCAGAAGCAGGATCGGCCTGGATGTGTATTAAATACATTGGTGCACATTTAGTTATTGTAATACTCAAGAAGTAGTTCAAAGAGATATTTTTACAACTGACTTTTATACATTTTAACATTGTGTTATTCAGTCATGTTCAATCTAGATATATTTTTTAGAATTACACTGTTGATGCAATATATATAATATAATGTTAGAATGATGACAAGATATCATCCAACCTACGTAAAGCCTTGCAGCATTTCAAAGATAAATAATCAACATATCCCTGGAAACATACAAAACTGATCAGCAATTATGAATCGGGTTTAATTGCTGTAGTGCCAATAAATTTGTTTCCAATGTTTAATAAAAAAAACAAAAAACTGGGAAAATTTTAACCCAAAAAGTTACAAAATATAGAGAACATAGGAACAATTTTGTTAGGAAAACATTTTATCAAATCAACAAAGTACTCAATAAAAATATCAAGCAAGGGGTATGCATACATTCTGAGACCATCAGACCATTACATACAACAATATGACAACAGTCTACAAGAATCAACACAGTAGTGTTAAGTTTGTTAAACGAAACTACGGCAAAGATGGAAATCAAAATTCTATAACATTGTGAGGGCCAAACTTAAATTAGGAAAAAAAGGTGTTTAAAATATTTAAAAGAACTTTGATTTAATAATGTCAAAAATAGTTAAAGGATCAAACAGCAACACAAAATAGCTTAAATTGTAAATAACATGGATTTTGGCCCAACTCAACTGAGCTCAACTGAACAGTAACTTATTTATACAAATGTGACCTACTGATAAAGAACAGAAGCTGCTTAAATAGGGTGGAATAACCTAAACTTGCCACATGAGGGTTACTAAAACCTAGTAAACAAATAGAACAACTCTAACTTAGCACAAATAATAATAGAATATTAAAGTGACAAAATAATTAAGGTCAACTGAAATAACATTCCCCCCTCATTTCTTTGGGAAAGGGGTTTGTTCCTGGCTTTCACCTCCAGCTGAACTGCATTAGCAAAACCTCAAAGAAAAGTGAGTTAAACCATTCAGACAAACTTTAACTAAATCTGGAACTAAATACGAACTATGAAAACTATACCAACACTTTGTGCTGGAGGTAGAAGGATCCACCACAAACATATAAACACAAATCATAAGCTGAACTTTAAAAGCAACTTAAACTTAAGACATTGGAGAATTCTCCTCCTTTAGCAGGAGCTGGTAGTGCGGTCCAGTTAGCTCTTGTCCAGGTGTTCTGACTCCTGGCTGCAAGAAACAACATTTCACAAAATTGCAAACAAAAATGCCAATTAAGTGGGGGAAAAAATGCATAAATGAACTAAATGGGTGTGCATGAGAATAGAACAAATGTATCTAAATTGATGAATCAACTTTAATCGTAAATAAGATATATCGTAGTGGCCGGATGAATAAATAAATGGAAGTGCATAAAAATTACTCAGTTTCAGGTGTAGCCATGGTTTTGGCACCAAACACAGTTTATTGAGAATGTTCTAAACAAGTTTAATACAGACTTTAAATAATTCTGTTATCTTGTAGAAAAAAATGCTTGCTTTTGTTGTCTGAAAAAACATATTAGCCTAATGTAAATAATCCAAAACCTACATTTTTCAGGGATAGGAACCATTTTGTGGTTTACTGTTTCCGAACTACAGGAATCAGTTTAAATATTTAGGGAATTCTAAATGTTCCACTAGATCCGGCATCAAATGTCTTATTTGAAATATGTCGAAACTAATGTAACTTTGTGATGTTTATAGTATCCTTCACCAGTAATTATATTCCTTTAGTTAAATTAGTATTAAAAAAATCCTACTTTAATATGTATAACCACATTTCAGAATCGTATATTAGTAAATACATTAATGTAGGAAACTTGTTGGCTCTTTGTCATGATCATTTACCCTTCCTTCACGGTGTACCATATGATTTTGGAAATAGAGGAACAAGAGCAGAAAATGACTCTTCTCTAGATCCCTTAGTTTATTTTTCTGTCTAATTACTTTTACAAAATGTTGTCAACGTTTAGAAACAATTGCTAAAATATATAAAAAACCTTTATTTCCCACTGCAATTGTTTTGTAAGAAATAAATGAGAAAGAACAGATTTCATATGTATTTCATGCATTATGGTATAGAGACCCATACCAAAGACATATCATTGACATATCTGGGTAAATTTTTGTTACACACCGTAGCGTGAAAGTCAGTGAAGATTAATGTCTTTTTGCTTCTGTATTGAAATCAGCAAAAAGGTCACAAATTCAGCCTGACAGCAGCTTCTGATCCATCAGAAGTAATAATGGAACATTTCAGATAAATAGTAAAGATGTCAAACTCTATAGTATCTTTACTATTATGAGGTTCATTACATTTATCAGTATATCATAACTGACTGTGAAACATATTATTTTAGAAAACAAACAACCCGAAACAAAGAACCTCTTGATTGATAGTAGCTGGAGTACGTCCAATACTCTGACAGGAAACATGAGTAATATCTGTGCCTCATGTCACAGAAAACTGATGTATTTCTATGTGGAAGAAAAGAGGAACTGAGCCAACAGAAAAGGACCAGCAAAAAAAAGAGGAAAAACAGGCAGCTCTTATTATTATTATCATCATTATTATTAAACTCCTGCCCAGTGGCAGAAAAGTGAAAACATGTTTTCTCTTGAGAAAAGCACTCACAGCTGTACTTTGCTCTGATTTGGTATTTCTAATGCTTTGAAATTCGGCACAAACATATTCAGGAGGCATAAAAGTGGTGTCACTATTACTCATGTTTCCTGTCAGTGGTTATGGACGAGCACATATCTAAAGGGATGAGGGAGGCTTTATGATGGTGACAAACAAGTGTGTGAGACAGAATCCAGGCTTGGAAGCAGTTGGTGCTAAGAGTAAAGCAAGTCATGGTGTAAAGACACACTGCCTCTTTTCTCGCTGCATGTCATTTCATGCCTTGTTGTTTTGAAGAATGACAAACTGTCCAAAACTTTTATTCTAATCCTGTTAGCTTCTGTTCAGTTGATACAAATATTTCTTTTCTAGAGCTGCTAGTATTTTTGTTTGTGGCTCTACCAGCTTTAAATGCATAGACAAAAAGAAGTTTAGGTTTTCAAAACTTGCCACAGATTCTCAAATTTATTTCTTCTAATGTAACTCTTACCTGATGTTCAGGGTTATTCCACTATGTTAGGCCTCTTTCTAAGGTTGAAGGCTTTTTAGGCTTCTAATGGATTTACCTCTAGGATAATTGTTTATTTAGCTCTGTCATCTTTAACAGCCCTTTAATCCTTTCCACAACTAACCTTTCAGCTGTTGTCCTTGATCTTCAAAATGCTGTTTTTTCATTCCTGTTAATTCCTCTAAAATACTTTTGTGGCCATTTATTTTTGGATTAAACTACTGTCAAGTATCAACTTTTAAGCTGACTGAATTTTATTTAGAGGTATCAGTTGATTTAAGCAGCACTAAGTATTTTAATATATTCTCTTCTGAGTCTTTGTGATGATCCTCTAAGTTTTTATGTCACAACTGACACTGGCCAGGCAAATTTCAAGTCGAGCAAGGGCAGATGAAGTTCAGAGAGTTCTCATTCGGTGTGAACGCACCTTAATGGAGCCTATAGAGGCAACTTCTGTAAATAGAGGAAAGCCCGTTTTACACATTGGCAAATGAATGGGAAAATAAAATTATTTAAATTTTAAAAACGCGCATTGCACCTTTAGAGAACATCTCTCAATTTATTGATGCTTTCATCCTCAAGGGTTTTTTAGGATGTCATGATTATAATTATGATTATGATTAACTTCTGCAT